CCATGAATAGCTTGAAATCCCATCAGCATGAACATTACAACCGTTGTCAGGTGGAAGCTAGGGATTGACTGGTGAGTAAAATTAATTTCAGTTTTTCAAAAAAATAGGCCTAGGACTTGGTCCAATAAGCTGAAACACTTGTTAGGCCTACACCCTTTTCAAGAGTTTTTTTCATAGGCCCTAGGCCTACATCATAGGCCTACCTCAAGTTGTCCCAGAACTGGATCCACTAATTCATGTGGAGTGGCGCCTCACATTTCTGGGAACGGAAGTACATGTATATCATGTAGTCCTACCCTGTAGCCTACTGTGGGCCCAACATGCCCAAGGTCATTATATTGCTACTAGTACAAGTAGTACATTCATGGAGGTAGACTTTTCCTACCTCCATGCATTACACAGAGTCATGACAGTAGGCTAGGTCTACATGTATTTACTAATAAAACGTTACTCACCCGGCTTTCTTTGCTTCTCTCTGAAATTCATCGTCCATATTTGTTGTCAGTTTGTAATTGTACTGTTATTTATTTGATGTGCTATTTATTATCACATTTGTTTTCAATTTAAGACGAAAACCCACGATGATTAGTAACTATAGTACTACTACTTACTAATACTATTACTAGGCCCTGCGAACACTTTTGAGTTAACCATGTACATGTACTGGTTGCATTACTCCAAATACGCGCCCATAGAAAACAGTGTAAAATCAGACCGAAATAGCGCCGCCTGTTGACTCTCGCAGGAAGAGGTTGGCCTCTGTTTTTTTCACTATTTAAATATAAAGAATCAGTAGCACTTTAATGACTAACTATTAAAGTGAAACTCTGCATAAGCTTTCTCAGCTCCAGCTACTTCATCAGATGCAGTAGCTGGAGCTAAGAAAGCTTATGCAGAGTTTTACTTTAATAGTTAGTCATGGAAGTGCTACTGATTCTTTATATTTGTATTTTACCTGACTGACATGGCTACCTTCACTATATAGAATTCAAGATTATGGCCCTGAGAAGATCTCTTTTCGTTTCAATTTTATGGGGGTAAGCCATGTGATTTTTTTTTGGTTCGCCTTTCCCCGTTGATACCCCCAAATAGTAGTAAAACTATTCGCTCAGCTCTGAATGCAGCCGCCCGCCAAAATAAGTTCAGAACTTGGGGCCGTTAGTGAAAGAAATACCCCAAACTGGAAACTACCAATCACAAATTCAGGATTTATAGAAACGTTTCTATGATCCCTCCTGATTATGGCATGTCTTATGGTAAAACCCTCGTTTAATGAGCTCGCGCACACAAATTCAACGATGTGACGGAAACGTAGAATGCTCATGTAGGCCCCCACTAGTACTAAATAAAGCAAGGGCACGACCGAACGCAAACCAAGCAAAATAAAACAAAACACAACGCTTTTCGATTGATCAGAAGTCACTCTATTCGATCGGCAGAGGGCGCCATGCAATAGCCATTCTAAACTTACCAACTCTGATTTGGGAACTCTTCCTCAGTAACGCCGCCGTTTTCCAATACTCGACTCGGGCTCAGTCTCAGGCTTCAACTATTTTTAATTCCTGACTTTGAGGTTGTAAGCGCAAAAGTAAGTCTGATAGTGCCACAAAACATCAAGTAAGATGCAAAAGAGCCAAACATTGCAGTATTTCAATTTAATTTAAACGCTTCAGGCCAACAATCGGGGATTGATTTCCTACACAAACCTGAGACGGAGACGAAGTTAGGTATTGGAAAACGGCCTTAGATTCTTGCACACGATTCTAGCAGGAAGTCATGTGAGCCCTTTGAGATGGCAGATTTTCATTGGTTGAGCTGTTCAGCGACGCTCATATTTTATTAATTCCTAAGCCTCTAGAATCCTATAAATAAAGCAGATTCCCCCTAGTTCGTAGGTCATCAGGTGGGGTGGACCAAACCTAACGCAGTGCGGCGGTTGGACCCTTTCTGAGAGAAGTGCGATAGTAACCATTCTTATGGCGAAGAAATGTAACCATATGGATGCCCAGCTAGCTTAGCTTGGACCGATGCGAGAGCGGTACGAAAAGGCCAGGGTGCTAGTGAAAGTTGTTTTCGTAGCGGCCCGTCACCGCTACGTCCGAACCGATTGCCGGGCGAGACACCCCCGTGTCCTTCGTCACCCTTGTCCTGCTAACTAGCCCAGTCCTCCCCGTCTCTTCGCTGAGCCAATGATACATAGTGCGGCGATTCTATCATTGCGCTCATCACATTGCGGTCTGAGTGGCAGCTAGTGCGGTCGGTACATACCGGCGCTGGCCCCGTCCAGCTATTGCTAGTCACCATGGTGGTCCGGGACAGCTCCCATCACGACCCGGCCCGATTAGTGTAGCCTAGTTGTGCGGTGCTACGCACCCGTACCGTACCCACTCCGCCTGACTTGCATTTCCAATGATCCTGCCAAACCATAGTTTAGTTACACTCGTATACAACTTCGTCTCTCTATAACTTTGCCTTTTGTGTGTTGTATTATGTCAAGCTACACCTTCTTCAAACCCTCATTGAACTTTGATGAAGAGAAGTGAGAGCAATAAACCAACCATACAGTTTGACTGTCACCCAAACGCCTTGTTTCACGTCCAACTTTTAATAAATTGTTGATCCCAAATATCACATCCCGCAGACACTAATAAAGACCATGCTACCACCGACTTGATATAAGGAAACGCAACATTTCTGACACTCACTGTTATGAAGCCAGTGTTAGGGGACAAAAAAATGTTCCAAACGGTAAAAGCTTAGCGAATAGTTAGGAGGTCAAAAACCTGACATGGTTATGAGCATCTGTCGCCAATGGAACCAACCTTAAAGAAAGGAAGTGTTGGTGATTCCGTAGTTGTAGAGACCTGGGGATAATGTGCCATAAAAAACCTCGGGTACCTACCCCAAAACTCGCACAACCGCATTTCTTTGCTAACTTAAAGACCCCGCGCCCTCGGACACAGTCAAGTTTGTCAGTCTCGAGACTGGGTTCAGGCTGGTATCGAGACTGGGTCTAGAATAACCGCAGTTGGTAAAAAAAGTAATAAAATAAAATGACCCTCTAATTTCTCAGGTGAGAAATTAGAGGCTTCTCGTTGGTGGATCGCTATAAAAACTACCCCTTTAGCTTACACCCTTAACCTTGCGGTGCTTAACCTTGTGTCCCTCTGGGCTGTTTGTTCTCGTATGATTAGTTCTCTGACACAGGACAAGGAGAAGCGCTAGGGTAAACAGCCCAATGGCTCACAGTGCTCCTGAAAAACTTGCTAGTGTGGTTTGTTTGACTTGTCTTGTTTTATTATTTTTTATCTTAGCTTATTGCAAACCCGGTAGGGCGCTTTGCGATGTTTATTCGCCAAGTTTTCTCCCAGTTCTGTCAGGAGACCTTTTTCCCCCTTGTCACACATTTCTCTAGCCAATTTTTTGGCTCGTTCTTCAACTTCTTCGATTTTTTGAATCTGTCAACCTTTTTTTTGTTTTGTGTGTGTCTCTTCTCTTGTTTTCCCTACAGGTTCCTGTACATCGGGGTAAAGTTTTTCAGGGTGGTTGAAACTCATGGTTGGGTTTCTTTTTAATTATACGCTTTAAAAAATTGCGCGTAGCGATTTTAAGAACTCTATAGGCCCGCGTACAGATTTCAAACGCCAAATTCCAGCTCCTTCATTGTTAATGATTCTTCTCTGTCGTTTCTCACCGAAAAATGTAAAATTTGTTATTCTTTCGTTGGTCAAATGTCCTCCCCAAATGGGGGAAACTCAGTGCGCATGCGTACTTACGAATGCATGCGCTTCCCATTTTCTGTTCATACACGCACGTATACGTTGAACAGCTACGATGAAGTTGCACAATAGAGAGCTGGTACAATCTTGCATGGCACTGGTCGAAAGTTGTGTCCGATCGCGAGTGTATGGTACACGTACATATACTTGCCACTGCTGGCCGGCCGGTCGACGGTCTGACGCGAACGGACAGTCACATTTTCACGGCGGCTAAGTTTCCGTACCCAGAGTCTTCCCGACAGCATGGACCACGGTGATTTGTAATAATGGTTAGGCCTAATTACCTGTAAGAAATACTTCTCCGTTAAACCATCCAATAGAAAGTTGAACGTACAGACAGGAGTCAGGGGAATAGACAAATCACAAATGATGCCTTTTTCAAGTGTGATACTTAGGCTCCCTCTCAGGCTTCAACTGTATTTTTACGACCTGACTTTGAAGTTGTGAGCGCAATAGTAAATCTGATAGTGCCACAGAACATCAAGTAAGATGTAAAAGAGCCAAACATTACTGTAGAATCTAGATACATGTAGTTCATAGAGAGCGCTATCACAGCTTGATGGTGCTGAGGTCTGTTTTCCTTAAAATTGGTGGCGCTCTTCAAAACCACGCCTATTCCAAATGTTACATGAAGTCTCCATTTTGATGCAAGATGTATACGCCCCTTTTTAGTCTGGCATGTTACCCAACCTGGCATAAAGCCAAAAGCCTAAAGACAAAAGAAAAGGCAGAAAGAATAGACAGAAAGAACTGGAAAGGAAGAAATAAACCACAGCTTCATCGACCAAGAGTAACAGAGGAAATCAGTTTCACTTGTGAGATTAAAACCCATCAGCTACCCCCCGTTTTACATAATTACAGTACTTCAATTTAATTCAAACGCTTCAGGCCGACAATCGGAGATGGGGACGAAGTTGAGTATTGGAAAACGGCCCTATAGAGCTCTCACACCAATAAATTCCTATTTATGCACGCATGCGCACAAATGGCCTTGGCGGCAAGACGTGTGAAGGGGCCATTGAAAAGGTACGGGGTGCGACTTTGATGAGCATTTTTCTCTCAGGTTTTCTGGTTATGTTCATTTTTTTCTTCAGAATATCCCATTAAATCGTGTTTGTTATTAGTTTGTAATTTAAGTGGAATTTTTAGTGCTCTGTGAAAAGATTTTAAATTCTTAATTTTTCCTGTGCGCGCGAGGTCGTCGTTTCTTAGTATATGGCCCCCTTCCACCATAAGTAGTATAAACTACAAAGTAGGTGTTCTTGGAGCAAACCTGTACATTTGTAAAAAAAAAATGTTCAATCTACCGCTATGGTTCAATGTACATGTACCGGTGCTGTACCCATTCGATTCGCTGCTTCTTGCACTTTGGAAATCTGATCTTTTTCTCTTTGGAATCTGCCTTTTGTCTTGTACAACCCCAAACACAACAACTGGATACCATTTCTTTTGGTAGTACTCCAAGCTATGACCAAGTTCAGCGGTAAGCTACGTATATGCATATATACAGGTACATTGAACATCGGTATGGTTTTTTTTTTTACAAAATGCACATGCTGGTTCCAAGAACACTAACTATGTAACTTATACTACTTATGATGGAAGGGGGCCACACTAAGAAACAACGATCTCGTGCACATAGGAAAAATTACGATTTTAAAATCTTTTCATAGAGCGCTAAAAATTCCACTTAAATTAGAAACTAATAGCACAAACGATTTAATGGGATTTCCTGAAGAAAAAAATGAACAAAGTCAGAAAAAGTGAGATTGAAAAAGTTTCAATGGCTCGCTCACACTTCTTGTGCACATGCGTGCATAATAATGAATTTATTAGTGAAGAGGTCTATTCACTGATGAGTGAGACAGTGCGCATCATGTATTATGCTAATTATGTGTGCGCCCACGATATGGATTTGACCAACTTTAATTCCCAAGACGTTGTTGCTGGCGGGGCTAGCTGCGGCTCGTGCGTTCCAGCTATTCGTCTTGTGGGGCCCTCTCGCGTATCAACAACACAAGAACGTCTTGACCAAGACCAGGGGAACACAATTTCGTAGGGGACAACACAAAGGCGCTAAAACGCCAAAAGGGAAGAAAAAACCTGACCTTGAACACGCGCAGAAATGTGGTTTGACCTTGGCATTGCTCAAATGTATGTACTGTCGATGTCATTTTTTGTGGTATTCCGTTGTATGGTATTTCAAAAAGCACTGGCTGATTACGATAGGAGGACGCTGGAAAAATAAGATGTGTTGAAAATAAACGAAAACTAATTTCAGTTTATGCCAATGCTCAATAATAATCTTCTAAGCGTCACGTTTATGGTAAGGACCACTTACCGAACAAACTTGTTGCTTTTTGGCAAATTAACTGTTGATCTGCTGAAAATCACCTTTAATGCTACCATCTCAAACGCCACGGGTCAATTTCGGTCCCGAGACACTGAGGAGTTTTTTTTTTACTTTTACATTTACATATTTTTAGAAGCAAGGACGTTTTTGAAATTTGAAAAAACCAACAATTTGTAAATTACATGTTTTTTACTGTGGACTGTGAGGGAAACTAGTTTTGATCTTTGTCAGGATAACAGCTTTGCACAAGTTTACAGAACTATGTTCCGTCGAAAGTCATCTCTAACGTCACAGGTCGACTGGTTTACAGGGTGAATTTTCTATAGAAAGAATGTGGAAAAATTATACAAAGTAACTACTTTAAAACTGTCAGTGATTGATTCAAACTAGCTGCCACCGCAGGTCACAAGACATTATTCTAAATTAATTTTGATTCATGTTTTTAATTAATCAATTGAGTAGAGACAAATAGCCGACAATCTACATGTATCTCACACTCCAGGTGTCGAATGTGACGAAACTCTACATAAAATTTCCCTTTCTGCGTGGCGTCTTCGCAGGCGTCATACTACTGCAGTTTCCAACCAACCTGTGGCATTTGGGGTGTTTTTAGCGGACAGGTTTGCCTACGGTGTTCTTGGATTATCATAGCAAACTTTAACATCTACATGTACAAATTTGATTCTTACATTGGCAGTACATCGGGATCTTGTTTATTTGGATGGCCCGAAGAAACCTATAATACGGTGTTTGATATGGTTTTGAGGCCAGATTGCTGTTGACAGCGTGTGACGAGTGTCATAAGTAATATCCCCAATAAATAGCAACCAATTTTTGATCTCACAAATATTAAGCACCAATTCAGGAAATGTAGCCCTTCTGTCGCCTAGGTTTCATTTAAGGTAAAACAAACACCCTTGTGTTTCCTCCGTCACAAGACGACCTGTGGCGTTTGAGGTGACTGGGCGTGGTTTACCGGTGAGGGCGCTCCGAATAAAGCGTCTGCGAGAGTGAGGTAACTGGAGTGAAATCTAAGAAATAGAGTCCGTCTTCAACCGCGTGATGTCGTGGTCTTTCCATTTCTTTTACCAAGCAAGTGGATTCGATGGGTACTGGCGAGGAAAAGTGAGATGCAAATATCTGTCTAAAAAATTCGCAACCAAGGAGTGTTGTTGGATATGGTTTCAGTGATGGTTTTCTGCTGCAGGAAGGGCTCTCATGAGCAATGCCCGCGGGAAAATTGAGCCACCAGTAATCGTGCAAGCAACTTCTAAGTACAAAGGAAAACAATTCTAGAATTTTTTTCAATTCTCCGTCATATCGGCGGTGTTTAAATTTTTTTCCAGATGTAGTGCATCGAGACAAAAAAACGATCTTTTAAATTCCTTGTATTATTCGCCAAAGATATTCCAACTGGGTCCTATTCCCAGTTAAACATTAACCTTAGAGGTATTAAGTGCCCTTCATTTCACGTCGACCTTTGGCGTTTGATTTGGTTTGAAGCCTTGACCTTTACGCGACAGAGTGTCAGACAGAAAAGGCCGGAGCATAATTATTTAACCACGCGTCATACCATCAAAAATCAACACAAATCTATCACTCTTGCAGCTGCTTTATACATGTATCTGGGATTTTTCAATTCATTTTATTTCCTGCGTCTTTCCTGCGTCTGAATAAAACGTCTTTGCCAGATCATTAATACATTACAGAAAATATCACATTTTATGAGCAACTTTCCAAGGAGCCATGCTACGAATTCTGAGTGGGGAAAAATAATACGAATCTCATTAATTTTTCCTCGTAGTCTCTTTGAATTCACAAATTTTAAAATATAATATAATATTACACACTGAAAATAAATGTAAGTTTCCAAGATGCACTTGCTAAATGTTGTTTTTCCTTCGAGTTACTGCATTTTGCATGCAGTCTTAAACTCTTGCAAATGACTGTAGAACCCCCTTTGTTAACCCTCCGTAAAACCATAGATCGAAAGTAGATATAGTGGAAACTTGACAGTTGACTCAAAATGTAATGTTTGACCTTTGACGAATTAACATACCATATTCAATTAGAAATGAGAAATAAACAGTGAGGACTCATTGGCGATATAAAGTTCGGTAGACCAACTCGGAACATTATAACCGACCACGGGAGCCCGCGTTATTAGGAAAACTGCGCCCACTCTTGGTCCAGCTCGGGGTTCATATTTGAAGAAAATTGAGTGTCAGTTCCGCAGGGTGTTTGAACCTGAAGACATTAGTATTTAATAAACATGGAGATCGTCGTGCATATACCAGCTTTTCAATGATCAAAATATTTTATTTAATCATTTCTGACAATTGCAATACCTTATTTGGATACTAAATTGATAGGGCTTTGCGCCAGCGGCGTGTCCAACTTTTGGGATGTGTGTGTGGGGGGGATTCAAAAGTGAATGCAGCATCGAGCACGATGCCGGTCCAATGGATAGGGCCGAGGAGTAGTGAATCACCTGAGATTGTGGTACATATCAATCACAAATTAAAAGACTGAAGTTGGTTAATTTGTCTCAATTATGTGTTCATTTAAAGAGAGAAGGATTAGAGTCGATAATACTCTTGCGAGAATTAAATTGCCGAGATTTCTCAAAACTAATCGAGTGTTTTTCTTCGGTCTAATAGTAATAGCAGTACATCAGCTTGTGGTTGTCACCGCCTATGTTTTTCAGATCTGGCACACTACCATCGCGATATTTGTTGAAATCAATCAGATCGTTCTCACCATCCCAGCGGAACCACTCTACCAGCATGGTCATGCGGTCCACAGCCTGGCAATCGCCGTTCTTCCGAAACAGGAAGAATGGTTTGTCTATCGGCAGGGTCAATGGAGAGCCAACATCGCCGTCTTCCCTGCAGCAGAAGTAAATCTTAGTGTCGTCGTCGTAGACACCTTCCGGCAGCTCACCGCTCTTATCGTTATCGTTCACGTGGTTCTTGTCGTCCCACTTGATCCATCCTTCACTGAAACCTGACAAATGAACAGTCAAGACCTTGACTTCAACTTCATCGGGGCAGAGGAAAACACTGCGCTGGCCAGTAGTACTGAGGCATCAATAATCCTTGATCTCACTCGTTAATTAATACTTCAACATATTTGGACAAACTTTAACAAATGTATTGGGATAAATTGATTATTAGGAATGCTAGCTTTGGGAGGGCACTGGACGTTACGTAGGTAAATGCCTCCGCGCCAAGAAGGTGACGTGTTCTTTCGTTCTCTTGGTACATGAAGTCTTGGTCTAAATGTAGTGAATTGAACTATGTGGTTCATGTCATTTGGGAGTTCTAGTCTAGGTGTAGTCATAACTGTGCACACGTGCTTTCAAAAATGTCTCTCTGAGACATTTATTATAAAATGTGTGATGTCTGCATAGTGTGAATATCCAGTACAGCCATAATTATGCTAGGATAAAAAATGTAATAACATATTTTAATGCTCACAGTGTGCATATTGTGGGCATGACAAGTTTAGGGGGCAGGGTTTGCATATACCCCGAGAAAAAGCAAGAAAAATAAGCGGGAGAGAAAAGGGAAAAGGAGATGACAGTTACCAGTTTTTGAGAAGACACCTCAGAATTGCCACAGCCACTTTTGACCGTTTCTTACTCACTGTCACGTAAAAATAGCAGACTGATAAGCAGCCAAAACTAAATGTGGCAATTTCAGTCTTTCAAGGCAAAAGTAATGGAATGTAAAAAAATATAGTATACATACATCTCGAGTATACATTTGTATTCGCCTCGTTACATTACTCCAATCGCATGATGTAAAGTGTAATTTTTT